AGAAAAACCAGCACAACAAGCTTCTCCAGGAGAATTGGCAAAATACCAACTTTCCTTCCAATTTTCCAATACTCAGGTTGGTCTTCTGCACCCAGAAACATGCTGATCCAATTCATCTGGGTGTTACAAGTTTATCATTAATTTACTATAATTCATCCCTGGTCAACTTGATAACCAGACATATCTCATGAAACCATAATCTCCAGTGGCAGATTTGTGAAAAGTTAGCATGCCTTGATCTATTCATAATTTCAAAGAAAAACAGTAAGAAATCACTAGTTGACGATTACAGATTGTCTTCTTACAAATAGTTATTCAAGATACTAATGTGGAGTATATAAAGTGGGGATTCGAACAGTGAGATTGCTAACAGTTCTGTTCAACTATCCAACAAAAACTTAGAAATATGGTTGTCAATCCTATACACTTAAACATACACGCAGTTATCCGTCTCTTCAATTATGTTGAGATTGAATAAACCCAAGTATGCTACTATCACTCTGAACAAAGAATAATACTATTGCTGGGTTTCACATTATGACACTCCAGGATCAGAACTGGGTATTTTAAAGTGTCTCTTTTCTTCAAAGTATCTGTTCATTTCATCATGTGGTGTAAGATCAATTCTCATAAACTGTTTATAGATTCTACACATGCATGAATCTTAACTTGTATTTCTATATTTTCTATATTGGAGAAACAAAAAAGCAAGACAAAACAAAACATATTCCTATAAACACATGAAATGAAATAAACATATAAGACCATTTTACAAAAAGTTCTACCATGGTTCCTGTTTTTCCTCTTGTTATCTCTAGTAGAATTGGCTATATCATCAGACATAGTATAAATGAATATATCAGTACATAACAGTATTAATAAAAAAACAACTTTGTATATAATATAGAACTTCAAAAACTGGCAGTTATCAAACCAGAATGTGTATCGTAGAGTCTTGCCATCTTCAGTGTAGTTGCCTAAACTCTCAGACTTGATACTATCAATCATATCAGTTTTGAATAAAATCTTCTCTGCCACATTTCTGTTATGCTCATTTTTTGCCATCAGTTGTCTGCTTATCTTCTTCAATCTGTTTTCTGCTCCATTCATTGAGGCCTCTCTGCCACTGTTCCTGGAATCCTAGTACTTTTCTCTCTACAATGCCCTGCAGTATTCTCTGTAGAGTTGGATTGGTGGTTGCAAATTTCCCAAGATCCTCTTTGTCTTGGAAGCATCTTGTTTCTCCATTAATTTCTAGAGACAGTTTAGTAGGGTATATTAATCTGGGCTGGAGATTATTTTCTTTCAGGGCTTGGAATATTTCACTTCAGGCTTTTCTTGACTTGATGGTTTGTGTCGAGAAATCTGCCCTTATTCTGATGGACCTTCCTCTGTAGGTTATCTGTTTCTTGTCTCTAATAGCTTTTAATACTCTCTTCTTATATTGAATTTCTGGGATCTTGATTATTATATGCCTGGATGTAGCTCTGTTTTGGTTGTAGGTCGCTGGAGTTTTGTATGCCTCATGTATCAGAATACCATTTCCTTTTCCTATGTTTGGGAAGTTTTCCTTAATTATTTCTGTGAATAACATTTGTATTTCCTTTGTTTGTACCCCAGCTTCTTCACTCACATTCTTTATTCTCAAGTTATAGATCCTTTTGTCATCTCCTAGCCTTTGTATTGTTATTGCTTGTTTCCTTGCTATTTTTTAAAAGTTTTCCCTTTCATACTCCCACATTGCAAAATTGTCCTCCAGTTTGAATAATCTATTTTTAGTTTCTTTTAAGCTGTTTTGCCATCTTTCCATAGAATTTTTAATTTCCTGGTGATCTCTTTGAATCTACTTCATGTATTCTATATATTTTTTTTATATTCTTCACAAATGGTTCTCTCCTTTGTTTGAGTTCCTCTCTTCTTCCATCTGTGTCTGTTTGAGGGGTGCTTAGTATCTCTTTTATTAATCTTCTTATATCTTGCCTTATTTGGCTAATTATCTCACTTTTGAACTCGTCTGTGAGGTCCCAAATATATCTCTTTATGCTCACTGGTGCTGTGTCTGACATTGCATGTTTGCTGTTCTTACTCTCCTTTGTATTTACCTGTCCTGAGTCAATGTTCTCAGAGTTGAGACCTGGGGACTTTTAGTTGTTGCTTCCTCTTCCTATCTTTTATGCTTCTTCGAGTTTCTTTCTTTGTTGGTTACAATTCTTCTGAAGTGCACTGGCTAGATGACCCTTCACACTGCTGTGTGCTATTGAGTTGCAGACAGGGATAGTGCATCCTGGCCCCTCCCCTCTGGATCAGTCAAGCTGCTGTGGCCTACACTGCACCACCTTGAGCTGCCTCCCCTCCAGATCAGTTCAACTTCCAAGGCTTCACTGAGTTAGTGTGGTTAGTGTGTGCCACTGCTGTAAGAACTTGATTTTGGATAACCTATTGGGTCTCAGCCAGGTCATGTGACCCAGGCCTAGCTCCCTCCACCAATCCTGTTAAGGAAGGGAACAATTGACTGAAGTCACTGCTGCCCCTTGTACTTGCCAGTCATGCCCAGTCCCAGAATGTCATCCACCAGAGCCCCCCTATTTATGGAATGGCTCCATTCCTGTCACTCATCACAGGTTGATGTAGGCACCCTGCCAACTCAGCTCTCTGTTCGGCTCGCTGACCCCTGAAATCAATGGAACTGTGCCTCCAGTGAATCGAAGAAGTGGGACCTCAGACAGCTCGGCAAGTCGCAGTGGGACCTCAGATGGGTGGAAAGTCGCCTTAATTTCTTCTTGGGATGAGAGAATTCATCTCCCTCTGTTTGGGGGAGCAAACTCTGTAGTATGTTGAATTCTAAGTTGACTATCTCAGAAAGCCTCTGTAGCCAGCTGTTTTCTATCCGCCATAGGAAAAATAGATTTCTCAAAGAAGAAAAAAAATTATATCAAAAATATAACAGAAAATCTACTTAAGTTTTTTAGGCTACCAACGTCTAAAATCCTGTCAGTGATTTTTTAAAATTCTTCTCATAAATGTCTCTCCATATGGAAGTCTCCATTGAGGAAAGGGCCAATATTCAGTTGCCTTTGATAACAGTCATTATTGAGTGCTGTAATACATTTCCATAGGTGGCATAGTGTCAGTGCCAGATGTTGTTTTATCACTTTCTTGAAGATGGGAGGTACAAAGCCAAGGAGCCAGCTGATTCACTTCTTGGATAGGGCCCCTTTCTGGCTTTTGGATGATTGGCTTCACTCTGTGCTGTGACGTGGACAAATGAGAAAGCAGGAAGCAAGCACTCTTACATACTTTGTACATAAACTCTTGTCTTAAAGTGAGAGTTCAATCTTCAAAACCCAATTACATCCCAAAACCTACATCTCTAAATACTATCACAATTGGGGTTAGGATTTCAACATATGGGTGGCAGCAGTATCGAGAGGCACAAATATTAAGTACAGAACATGTGATAGCAGAGACCATTCAATACCAGCAATCAGGAGACCAGTGAGGTTCAAAGACCTTCATGTCCCTATTGAACTACAAAGAATGTCACCAAGTAATCTATTAATAAGCTAAAGGGAAGTGTTCCAAGCTCCTGCTTAGAATAAGAACGAAGGTTTTCCTGGGTGTTCTTGGGGTGTCTCCAAGAGAGTGTTAAAAGTGAAATTCTAGGCTCTGAAGGCATAAAATAGGGCACTGAGCACAGATTGGAATTGGGAAAATTTATTATAGAGTAGTTTAGAAGTAGGAGAGGGGAATTAGAACAGAGAGAGGTACTGAAATAAGTTTCTTGATAGAAGCATTGTTCTGTAATTAGAGAACTGTTTATCCTGGCCTTCAGATGATTGCAGTCAATAAATCAACGTGTAAAACGGCATTGTCCCTGTAACAAAAAGGTAGTTTTTGCTGCTACAGGAAGTATGAAGCATTATGTCAAGGCAGATGAACTCAGTGGTTATTTTGTTTGACTTGAATTCTTTGCCTTATGTTTGAACAGGAAGCAAAGTGAACAACACTGACAGAGTACAAAATGGAGTACGGAGATTTCAAAACAATGTCATCACTTTCAGACTTCTAATGTTTTCCAAACCTATAGCCTATAGAATGATAAGACAAGCCAGAACTAAGAGAAAAGGTAGAAACTAAAATTTGGTTGAAACATTATTTCCATGTCCCTACTAGATTGTATTTAGCTAGCAATGTGAATGGAGATGTTTCTTATTATTGTAATAGGATTGTTGATATGCCTATTGCACTATTCAGAGATTCACAGAAGTTGCAGCTTTTTGATCAAGTGTGAAGTTCAATGGTTTTAGAAAAACAAAGTAGTTTTCTAATTTTACTCTAGAGTTCATTTTTCTTAAAGCATTACTTATGATTGAAGATAATAATTCTCAGATCTCTCATATAGAGTTGCATGTTTAATCTTTCATTCAGTAGATCTTATATAAGGTCTCACGTAATTGACTTCAACAAAGGAAGAAAAACAAATTATACTAAAAGTAATTCCTATTCTCAGATTTTTTGAAGTCTTTCTTTGTGTCTCCAAATGCATCTTATGTTTCTATTTACGTTGCTAGCTATATGATCATAAAATAGAATGTGTGTCTGCTTCACACAACGTCTGCTACATCATAGGAGCTCAGTAATTTTCTTTGTATTCCCTGACTGTGTATGAACATACTCATTAAGGGACAAATATCTCTTACCATCTAATATATGAGATATGCAATATATTTTAATTCCCTTCTAAAATTCTTATCTTTTGTCCAATACAATATTAATTGAATATACAAAATAGAAAAAATGAAACTTCAGGGGCTTGGGATTTAGCTCAGTGGCATAAGCACCTGCCTTGCAAGCAGGCAGTCGTGAGTTCGATCCCCGGTACCGATAAAAAGCAAAAAGACACAAAAAAAAAAAAAAAAAAAGAAACTTCAGGAAGTTAAAATTATTGGATGTACTCAATAACTATATCTTATTCACATAAGAAAACAGAATGCCAGGATCCATACTACAGAAAAAGTTTATTTAAATATATGTGAGTGAAAGAAGAATAAGGACAGAATTTTTAAGTGACAGTAACAGAAGAGATTTAAGTCATGGTGTAAGAATTAAATTCTGTTAGCCTTATGAAAGGGTAAATTTCCGTCACGCAAGGCTGAGTATGAGAATGTAGGGAATATTCAGGAAGCTGATTCAAAAAAGCTAGAGCTGAAATCAATTTACCGGAAACTTCTGGTAGAAAAGTAATCTGGGCGGTAGAAGCTAGATCCTTTTCACAGAGACTGAAAGCCAGTGTTTCCACGGCCAAAAGGCCCAAGGCCAACAGTGCCGTATCCAACAGATCCAAAGTAATTTGTCTGGTCAGAAAAGGAGGAGATGAAATTACTGGGGCGAGCAAAGGATGGTTGGACGAATCTGGTCCCAGTAAAGGAAGTGGGACTGTTGATGGGCTCCGAAAAGCTCTCCTGTTGTCCACCATAGACAGAGGAACCCAGTTGGTAGGTCTTCGGAGGGATGATTACATTGCTAGGGTAGACAGCATTATAGGTGGAAACTGAGGGCCTCAAGAAGCCTCCAAGAGACTGGGAGCCAAAATGTCCAGAGCTGAAGTTGTAAGGCATGTCAGAAGATCTGAGTTCAGTTGGGCTATCGCAAGGACTTGGCAAGTGTGATTGACACCATCTATACAGGGTGCTTAAATTCCTTAGAAATGGATGTGATCACATGTGGCTGTCTTAATGAGAATACTTAATTAGGCTTCAGTAAAAATAAAATACATTAACCTTCAAAGATCTTTTTTTATGAACACACTTTTAAATGAAAGAATTTTATTAAGTTTTCAAAGCAATTGTTCATGGAAAAAATATGCCTCCATCATCTACCTTGGGTAGACTAAAAACTACAATTGATTTTACTCACTCTGTAATTTAGGATATTAGATCAAGTGTATCATACTTTGGGAATTCTGTTTTGTTTATTCTAGCATGTACTTTGAAGGGGACAATTAAGTTGCTCTAAGTTTAGGAACCCAACTGAGCACAAAATATTAACTCTCATTATATGTTCCTTCTTCTAAATCTTGTGCATTTTATGAAAGAAAGCACCTTAAGTCGTAGAAATGCTTAACGAGTAGACAGCAAGTTTAGGTTTAATTTTCTTGTAATACAAATAGCCAAAATTACTTTTGTGTATGTGTTTCAGAATGAATGATCCAAAGTTGAAGATAACATTGTAACTCCTTTCTATGAATTCTTCCCTCCCTTCCTTCCTTCCTTCCTTCCTTCCTCCCTCCCTCCCTCCCTCCCTCCCTCCCTCCCTCCCTCTCTCTCTCTCTCTCTCTCTTTCTTTCTTTCTTTCTTTCTTTCTTTCTTTCTTTCTTTCTTTCTTGTTTCCATGATGGTGAACACAGTGTCTTGTGCATGCTAAGCATGTGCTATGCTACAGAGCTTCATCTCCTGTTCTGAATTTCTTGATGAAAGTAATCATTAGGTACAGAATACTTTGTACTGATAAAAATACAAAGTAAAAATAAAATAAAATTCAGTCTTCTAAATCTGATTCTTAAAAATATTAGCAATAAGCTAATAAAGTTGATTAGAAAATACTCTCTATCTCCATAAAGATTCAGTAAGCCTTTTTGGTGTTTATATTATTGAGAATAAAATAATATGCACTGTACAGAAAGAATGGAAGAATCAAGGATCGGAAGAATCACATAAATTAGAATGTGCATAAAAAGCGTATTAAAACATGGTAATGTGATATAAAGAATGAATGCCTTTGAGATAGCCCAAGTGGCATATTTGTCAGGTGTTCTTGTTCTTCACAAAAGACTACGTGGCATGAAGACTTTGTGGACTTTCCTATAGAGTTTTTCTTTAGCAAATGTAAATAGAGGTAATGTATAACTCTAAGAAATGACTTAAAAATATTTGAGAATAGACAAAATTTCTAATTTACCCATGTTCAAAACCAACAAATTATATAATGAAAATGAGTGTGAAATTCATTCCATGAGGAATTAGGATTATGAAGCAGAAGATTTAAGGAAAGTCCAAACTGATCTGCTTTGGTAGATAATATGGTTTCCATCCAGGGTGCTGGGAATATTTGATGTGGATAATGTGAATGGATGATTACATCAGTCAGATATAAGATCAGAAATCTTCACCAAACTCTCTTTAAAACTGTTAATTTTATCAGCCTGAACAATTTGAGCTGACAAACTGTCAATCAATCATGTTTCATTTATTAGGTGACATAGTTCGTCCTCTGCTTCTAAAATAAGCAATTCTTATTTGTTAGTGCTATTAATTATCAATGACAAGAAACCTTCTAACAGTTCCCAAACCTTCCTGTTTTTTAGTCAATAAAATGCTGAACATCATCCTCTACATAAATATCTAATTCAGCTAAACTGAATTGTCTTGCTTGATTCAGTGTCACCTGTTCTTATGGAAAACATCTTGCTGGAAAAATATACCATGAGATCAGATATGGTATAACTGTGAGCACTGTTTTCTCAAAAAAGGATACAGGTGCTTCTGCATCCAAGCACTGTTGCTCAGAGTGGGAAAAATATGCTTTTCTATGACATCGACAAATCAAACATCACAGAGACCACAGAAGATAAACCACAATATCCTCTCTTCCTGAAGGCATTGGTCTTCGTCACCTTATTGCACAGAGTTGAAACACGGGTCTTGAAATAATAAAACATATGTTCCTTGTTTTAGAAAATGTATAATACTTGTCAGAAGCCTCTGAAAACAACTTATGTCAAAGTGATCTGTTATTTTCTGAGGCAGAGGAAGAATCTCCTTACAATGCATCCTTTGTCCCAGTAGTTCAAGGAATTTACTCTACATACCGTGTGTAGAACAAGAATATCTTCCAAATTTTCTGGGCAATTCTTCCATTGCTATATAGAGATAGAAATTCTTCCATTGATAAATAGAGATAGAAATACATTGGAATTTTTTCCACATTTTCTTTCTCCTCCTCCTCCTCCTCCTTTTTTTCTTCTCTCTCTGTCTATCTCTGTCATTCTCTCTCTCTTCATTGTTTCTTTTCTGACTTTTCCAGTATGTTGGGTGAATAATCTCTAATGCTTCAAAGTAGTATAAGCAATTTATAATATTTATCCCCCAGTACAATAAAGACACAAAGAAAAACTAAGACTGCCTCTTAAAAACCTACATACAGTTTCAAACATCAGTACAAAAAAATAACATGATGTCTCAGTTAATTTTTATAAAGTCATTTATATTTTTGGCCAGTTAAAACACAAGTCTGTATACAAGTTGCATATCAATATTGCTGCTTTCTGATGACACTATTCCCTTAGTGAGTTTGCCACTTTGCATCAAAAATCAATGTATTTTTTTCTGATTTGTTTGTTTGAAAGAAATGGCTATGAATAGATCAGATAACAACTTTGTTAGGCAGATGGTAATAATTTTGAGGCAGATTGTGAAACTGGTATGAATAATTTTTAATTAGGCAGCTTCCCTCAGCTCAAATACTATCTACCTCCAAAGCAGTTCTCTGAGTGATCCAAAAGGTCATCTCTGCTAAGGGAAGATGAATAATGGCTTTGAAGATCCAGCAGTATGACTTGAGTTCCAAAGCCACAAGCATTCCCATGCTTTCCTATTGCAAAAACCACAAAAATGACATGTCGATGACTCTGATGATCTTTTCAGATCAATTAAAAGCAGCAAGTAACTTGTTTTCACGGATCACGGGGATGACACACACAAGGATAAGGGTGTATAAACGCTGCCGTCCAAGGAGCAGCATTCAAAGCCAGAACACTGCCCTGTAGATTCCCTCCTCTGTCAACATGTCCTGCGGCTGCTCCTCTGGAAACTTCTCCTCCCGCTCCTTTAGCTCTGTTAAGGGTAAGGGTGACCTGCAGTACCCAAGCTCTTCCTGTGGTTCTTCCTATCCCAGCAAACTGGTCTACAGCACCGAACTCCAAACTCCCATCACCTACCAGCTGGACTCCCCTCTCTACAGCGGATGTCAGGAGACCTTCTCTGAGCCCTTCAGCTGCCAGAGGTCCTACGTGGTCTCGCAGTTCTGCCCAAAGATCTCCACCTTGGGCAACACCTGCCAGACAAGTTTCTCAGGACCTCTGAGCTTTGGATCCAGGGGCGTCCAGTCTTTTGGCTACGGCTACCCATCACTGGGCTTTGGATCTACTGGTTTCCATTCGGTAGGCTGCGGGCCCCGCACTATCTCATTCCTGAATTCTGGATCCAACTTTTACTGCCCAGCCTACTTCTCTTCTAGAAGCTTCCAGTCTACTTCTTTCCAACCTACCTGCAGATCTGGCTTCTATTAGCCATATATTTTAGGAAGCAGAATTTTAAATGTGATGCTTACTGTCTTAAGATTAATACTGTCAATTGCTCTCCTAGCTTTTCATCAGCTAGATATTGGTATCTACTTTTACCCTTATAGATGTGGAATGATTGGAATTCCAGGAATAGGAAAATGTACTTATTGGAAAGGTATCAAAATTGCTCTGTTACCCTTATGTAACTATTCAATAACTGATACAAACTTTTTTATTGCTATCTCCTATTTATTTTCCTTAGCATATTTGTCTTAAATTTTACAGTGAAAAATGTTATAAACTTAACCTATTAGACCTTTTATGGTTTGGAATTTTATTACATTTATTTTGCTTTCAAAACTACTTCTGAATCTGCTTGAGACCTTCTGTATCTTGCAATTATCATTAAAATTTTAACCTAAAAAGAATAAAAAGAATATTTTTGTTTTGAAAGGAATGTTGTTATCCTTTGTGTTAACTCCATGAATGTCTTCACATAATCAAATGAAGAGTACACATTTTAAGACAACAAATGAACTTAAAGCAGTAGCTACCTGTTACATAGTTAAAAATATTACATAAAATGTAAATGATTATAAATTATAAGAAATATCGAATTGCCTCTAGGACATTATTTTTGAAGTAAGATTTCTCTTTTGAAATATATGCAAAATTGCAGCATGAATACCCAATAAAACGTTAGATATTAGTAAGCTAGATTTGGTGAAGATTTCAGGTCCCATAGACCTATTGTCACGTAAGACTTTGAGTCTGTGTGAAATCTCTAACATATTTGCTAGCAAACAAGTCAAATATTTTATACAATTGTTTTATAGATTTGATGAAGTCTAAATTTGTTCCTTTTGTTTCTTTTCACTGTTTAGTTCATAGAACACTTTTTGAATGGAAAATGAAAACTTTTTAAGGTCAGTGTAAAAATTCCCTTGTTGCAAGAATACAGTAAATATCTGGGCAATGAATACAACATAAATATTTAGTTCTGGTTCAAATATTTTTCTATTTAAGTCAAAGACAACACTATTACTGGCAGACACAATTTACATCCTTACAGGATCACCATATGCCTTGATTTATTGTTCTTTGTTTCCAGGGTCAGTGGGCAATAGTTTAATCTAGAGTCTAATCAGAGTCTAATCTTTGGGTGCAACCAGTAATCTCATATAAAAGATGATTGCTTTAAGAGAACTCCACTTGGCTCTCACCGTGAATTCATCTAGTGGTGTAGAAGGTGCTTGTACAGTGAAACAATTTTACTTTAAACCATTTTTAAAACCTAAAGAAGATAAAACATCCTTTCCAACTGTCACTTTCTTTCAACATATAAAGAGATAACATGCAAAACAAATTACACTCAACTATCAGCTATAGTAGAACCTGCACTTTAAATGAATGACCAACATGGTTACCACTTCTGTCTAACCTAGCAGTGCTGTGACCTGTTCCACCTCCAGAACGACACAGTGTTGCCTACTAAACCACCAGTAGGTGGAGGTAGTGGGAAATTGGAGAGTTACTGGTTGTGTGTAAATGAAATATGGGCACCTAACTGGTGAAAGTGGTGATGTCTCAAAGAATATGAAGGATGACCTAGTGCATTTGCTACAGTGGTTTGGACATCTATTGTGTTGTCTAAATAATCCATTATTTATTTTGTTGTTTAGTAGCAATACTTCTTTAAAAAAAACTCCTTTTATAAACAGTAGCGTAAAAGAAAAATTCATTGGTAGTGTAAAAAAAATTGAGTACTGGTAACACTAAAAGACGTTAACAAGTTGATGCCCAGTAGCATAATTTATATAACAATTTGATGACATTTATTATTCTCTTGAGAGTATGTGATACTAATAAATATGTAAAAATGACTAATTTTATTGAAGAAATATCACTATCTACTTCAAAGAAAAGTCAGAAAGAACTGCTTCCAAAGGTGATTATATGTAATCAACGGTTGCAAAAAGATATATTTCTGTATTACTCTAACCCAAAATTTTTAACTTAGGTTAAGGAATAGTTTTAAATCTTTTTTATTCATGTTAACTTTTCTCATACATATGCAAAAAAGGGCAGTAGTAATGATAGTCTATTAACAGAGAAAAACCTTTTCACTAAGTGTAAAACAATGTTAGTTTTAAATCAGAAATGTCGAGTGTTTCAAATATAAAATCAATTCCAATGATTTGATTTCTTTACCTGGTTCAAATAAATCAAAACTGGAAATTTGAAAAATTTTGGCAGTGATAAAGGTAACACATTTTTTTAAAAAAGTTCAACAGTAAGGATAGTTATTTGTTATCTCAGTAACAATAGAAATCATAAATTTTGTTGAAGGACAACATTATGATAAAAACAATAAAATCATAATCAGATGAAGAAATAGATTTGCAATTGTGTTAATTGTGACTCACTGCTGTATTATCCAAATAAGTTTCCATGTTCTACCAATGAATACGGAAAGTTTTATCGTAAAAATATAAAACAAAAAAATTATTGGCCTCAAACTCACAGCGATCCTCCTTCCTCAGCCTCCCAGGTGCTGAGGTTACATGTACTTGCCACCGTGCCCAGTTTATGTATTTTCACTTATGATAGAAATCACTGTTTGTTCTTACCTTGTCAATTAGGGCTTTCACATTGATTTGTTGTACTGTTATCTTTAAGTCCTCATTTTGTTGATTTTCAATTCATCATTAGTGTTGATAAAGCAAAGTGTAGTCACAGAGATTGCTTTTGTCATTTGTTTGACATATATTCTTCTATGATAGGTATTTTTCTCATACCTATTATATTTTGTACCACATCTTGGTTATTCCATGGTTTTGCACTGGTCCGCCCCACCCTCCTTCAGGCTGACTCACCAAAATGAGTGGTTTTGCCATATTATGGTTTGCCATATTAGTGAGCTATCACTGGAGTTTGGCAATTTCACTATTCTTCATATTTTTCAAAATTATTTTTAAATGGGCACAATATCTACTATCTAGAGTAGTAAATCTGAATAAGCTAAATGATAATAATAAAGGTCATTAAACACATAATATAAAATTTGTCATAGCACATGGTTCCTCTGTCATTTGGTATAATCATTAATACAAATGATTAACATGAAATAAATCATGCTAGCTTCCTTTTTTTTTTTTTTTGTCTTTTTCGTTTTTACCGGTACCAGGGATCGAACTCACGACTGCCTGCTTGCAAGGCAGGTGCTTATGCCGCTGAGCTAAATCCCCAGCCCCGCTAGCTTCCTTTAATCTCTTGCCCTAAGCTATACTTATTTTTATTCTTTATTGTGCGTATTACACATGAAAAAATATATTAGCCTAATTAAATACAACAATAACTACTACTACTACTACTACTACTACTACTACTAATAATAATAATAATAATAATATTCAGGGGAAGCAATTTCAATGGCACCTGAAATAAAGATTAGCAGTTGTAAGAGTAACAAGATAAGGTTCAGGTAAGAGTTCAGATTCTGCAAGTCCTTAATCAAAAAGCAAACAAACAAACAAACAAAACACACCTTTGGAAAATTTCCAGTCTTTTTTAAGTCTGCTTTTCCTTATTTCTGTCAGGGTCCATGTCCATATTCTACACTTATTTCACGAGAATTTTTGAACCCTGAGTTGAAATTGTGTATCTTGTATGCTAAGATGCCAGGAAAGGCTGTGGTAGTCTTGCACAGGCTTCAAACACTGCTGTGTGAACAGCATTTCCCACAGTATCAGCAACACTTCTTTCACTCTCCTGGGCTCCTCAGAAGTCACACTAGACTAAAGAAGGATCTCACCTTGAAAGACCCTTGCACAATTATGAGGTTGTAGAAAATAACACTTTTTGCATATTGTTCAACAGTGAAAGAGAGAAGCTAATGAAGAAATTCTTGCTGTAGTTGATCAGAGTCTAGTGTGGACAATCACATGTTATTTCATATGCTCCTTAAAGTCTAATATTGCATCTCAATTGCTCATTACAAAGTCAACTAAACCGGGTGTAGTGGCTCATGCCTATAATCCCAGCACTGGGGAGGCTGAAGAAGGAGGATTTTTGTGAGTTCAAAACTAGCTTGGGCTACAAAGTAAGCTCAAGGCCAGCCTGAACTGCATAGCAAGACCTTGTCTCAAACACACACACACACACACACACACAACCAACTAAAATTTTCCTGTTTTTTTTTTTTTTTCCTTACATTTTCTTCTTGGATTCTTTCACCTTCTCTGATTCTCTATGAGATCTTAAATAAACTATATCTATCTTTATTTTTTAGTTTTGCTCTTTGATTTGAGCTCCACTTTAGGAACTAGATTTAAAGTGATGAATGAAATGTTTGCTCCATGCTGTTCAGGTATGTTGTTCTTAGCTTCACTGGACCTGTACCTTGGAGAAGCATCGTGAGATTATCCATACATACGCTGCAAAGCTAGCTAGCTTCATCTAAGATCTTTGTGAAGGTGTTTGGAGATGCAGTTTAGGGATAGCCTACCTGTACGAGACAGGGATTCTGACAATTATGTCAACCAAGAAGGAGTAAAGTGTCTATCCTTATTTTTCTCTTGATTGAAAAGCTAGAAGCCTCTAACTACTCAGCTAATCATATATATTATACTTTATTGCTCACATGTCTGGTGTCTAATAATTTCATTGTTTTCTTGTGTTTGTAGAAATGCGTGCTCTTCTGTCTCAAGCAATTGTCATTGTTATTGAGATGACTTTCGTATGCCAGTGATGGCTATAAAAGAAATTATTATTCCTGGTAGAGAATATACCCAGTACCAACAGGTATTTGCTCAAATCAAACAAATTTTATGTACCCAAAATCTATTTACAGGGTCCTATTGTTCTTGGTTATATAAAGCTATGGTCAAGATAATAATAACATGAACAACATATTTAATTGCTAGATAAAAGAATTTTATTAGATAAGATTTTAACTTTCAGTTTTTTGAATCAAAACCAAAAGGATATTGTGGAGAGAACAAAAAGATAGTATAAAGTTAGGAAGGAAAGCAGAGGCAGTATTGAGTGTAAAGTTTGAACTCAATACTCATATAGGCACTTAACAAGTGAACCCATAGAAACCAGAGCCACAGGTTGGTCTGTAACAAGGGGACTGGAAGTTCCTAGAAGTGAAAAAAGTTGGACGGTAGAACCCAGATCCATAGGTTAGAGAAGGGAAGGCACAGACTCCATAACCCGGGGACCTGAAGCCGTTGGATCTACCGCCCAGTGAATAGCAGCTTGTAGATCCATAGCCCAAGGAGCGGCAGCTGTTCGATCCAAATCCCAGAGATCCAGAATAAGTGGTTCCGCAAGGACTGCAGAACGCAGAGGGCCTGGGGCGGTAGCAGGACGTCTGGCAGGGCCTGGACAGCACACAGGACCTCCGGCAGCTGGTGGGCTCACAGAAGGTTTCCTGACAGCCACTGTAGAGCGAGGAGCCCCGCTGGTAGCTGGTGGGGGACTGGAGATCAGCGCTGTAGACCAGGTTGCTGGGGTAGGAAGAGCCGCAGGAGGAGGCTGGGAGTTGCAGGTAGCCCCCACAGGAGCGGGAGGAGAAGTTTCCAGAGGAGCAGCCGTAGGACATGTTGGCAGGAGGAGTGAGTTCAGCTGACTGTAACTGACCAGGCTGTGAGTTCTAGTGCTACCTTCTGGACAGGAGCATTTATATACTGTCAGAATCAGGCGTGGCACCCCACAGGGCCACCCTGGACGTATTCATAGTATGTTTTTTACAAATACTTAACTCAATAGTCTCTCCCTAATTGCAGTTGCAAAATTTAAATAGTTTTCTACGCAGCATATTTATGGGTTCTATAAAACTATTGTTACCGAGAAATCCAGTGAACCCCTCCTACGTTTGAAATGCTATGACAGTTTTATTCAGTTGCCTGTTTCATCACAGTAGGAAAGCCCTTCGTAATGCACTGTGGTATGTCGCCTGCCTTGTTTCCTGTGTGTCCCTATCTGGCAGTGCTGTGGGGATTTTTCCTAAAAACTGAAGAATACAATAATGTTAATTTTCATGTTTTAATGGATCTGTTTCCACATGTAGAGGAGCTTTCATCAGGACAGTCTACTTTTTATCATCACACGCTTCCATTCTTCAGAATTACTTTATGGCAATCTAGTAGTGCAGTGGCATAGAAGTATTATACCATACGCCACAGTTACACAATGTGTCTGACAGTCACCGAGATACCAAAATTAGAGAAGAAAAGAAACTATGAGAGAAATGTCTAGAGACTCAAAAAGAGAAATGATAATCTTAAAGGAAAGATTTGAAACATTTCTGGGTGGCTGACTCTTGGCCACCTGGGTAGCCAGGTGTACCAGAATTTTCCTGTCTGAATGTGCCTGAATGTGCCTGAATCTTTCTCTGTTCTGTCTTTTGCAGAATAGACAAATGTATCTCTGAATACTTCTCTATTTTCTCTCTCTAATCACTTCCCTATTTTTCTTTTTCCCTCTATTTAGGTTTAAGTTCTTCCTTGTTTTTGTTTCTTAGTTGGTTGGATATTTTTGTGGTGTGTTAATTGATTTACTTCAGGAGAACTACAGATTCAGTGGTTTGGTTTTTTTTTTTTTTTTTTTTTTTTTTTTTTGTCTTTTTCCTTTTCATCGGTACCAGGGATCGAACTCACGACTGTCTGCTTACAAGGCAGGTGCTTATGCTGCTGAGCTAAATCCCCAGCCCCCAGATTCAGTGTTTAAAAGGAAGTTTGAAACATGTATCATGTTCTTGGAGCATTATCAGAGGCTTCCATATTCACTCAGAAAATATTCTGAGATAAAGTAAAACTTAGTTAAATTCAAGACCAAAAGAAGTATACTCTTATAATTGATGGAAGTATTTTTATATTTTATTTTCTATTAAAATCTAACAAAGCAAATGCATAAAATGTCAAATGCATGGCATTATTAAAAACGTGTAATTTTGACCTTCTAGAAGGAAGAGAGATGAGGAAAAAAGGTAATTACACCTATTCAAATAGCTATCGTGTGACGCATTTCTGTTTTTTCAAGAACAGAGTTCCTATCTCACTTTGTTCCACATCAATATGAATACTGTAATCACAATCCCTTGCCCATTTTTTGTTTTAAATATAGCTTGCTAAATAATCTTGAAGACAAATGTTTGCGTTAAATGGAAAGATTGAATTTGTAACAGTATTTTATTCTTTTCAGTTACTCTACTCTTCTTTGTCAAGGACCCCTCTCTGAATCAGTTACCACAAAGGGAGGGATTTTTCCCCTCTCTTGGTCTCTAAGTCTCTAAATTTTTTTCTACCTTGTCTAGAGATAAAAAAATTATAAATATTCTACCTATGAAATGAATTCATCTCATAGATTTTAGTATTTCTTCAGTATGATATAGAACTGCATCATTGTTTTACTTGAATTGTTCCTCAACAATCAAGCATCATTGTATTTCCCATCAAATTTATGACTGGGTGCTATTTATCCAGAGGTTTCTGAGCTTTGCATTTTTATCTTTCCATGAGTAGGCCATAGACAGAATGCTTTCAAGTATTTGATGTGTGCTCCCAGTAGAGTCCTACCCAGAGTTGAATGTCACAACTTTTGCTACCTATCTACTTCTTGTCACAAAATGAATAGCTGGGGATCCTGTTTTTTTCAAGAGTTTAGATTAGAATGGGCCAGCGAAGTAGCCCCATGGTGCTGGTGGCAAGTGCGAGGTCCTAAGTTAGATTTCTAGTACAAAAAAGAAAGAAAGAATTAAAAAAAAAATTGGATTAGAACCTCCCAGCCTAATACTTAAAACATAAAAATTATCATTAAACACTGTATGTTAGTAGTTGTTAGCCAAAAATTATTTTTATTTATTTAACATTAAAGTTAGAGAGGTTTTCGAGTCCACATATACCAAGTCAAATATACCAAGAAAGATTTTTCTTCTTAAATGTGCCACATGAAATACTGAAGTATGTTTTTCCCTGTAGTATAAGTTTGGTATTTTCTCTAAACATCTTTTTATTACAATATTATAAGATGGGGAAACATTAAAGGTTATATAAAATGCATATTAATGAGATGCCCAAGAATGATTTTGTTCTATAAATTATTCGAAATTGTTGAAATCTTAGATTCAAAAACAAGCTATTTATTTGGAAGGTGATCCCCAAAAATACCCATAGAGAGGGAGAAAGTGCCAGCAAAGGAAAGGAATACAGGCAGGAAGCGTTATTCAGCCAACTACCACCATGGGCAACTGCACATACATATTAGTAGAGAACCCCATGCAGGCACTCAGCCAGTATGCTTTACAGAAGTGAAAACAGGAATGAATAGGCAGAATGTTCCAGCTGCTCCCAGCAGTTAGTCTTCACAGTGTACACATTGCTATCTATGGAATAACATGGGGTATTCCACAGCTGCTACTGGAGAGAAGGGCCACTTTGAACAGCACAGGTTGACAAAATACAGGTGGGAGGAAACAAGATAATGTCTATAAGTATAAAATGAGATGGAAAAGCAGAACCATGTGAAAACATGAGTTGCAACCTCATGAGACACAGCAGAGAGAGGATATATATGGCAGGCAAGTTTAGAAACACAAGCTGGACACTCACAACTACAGCATTTGAATTTGTTGAATTTTGACAAGCATCATCTACTATGATACATATAAAGGAATATAAAAGACTTAAAAATGGTTCTCAGGAATGCTACTTACTTCTCAGATATAATAATAATAATTATATGTATTAATAAATAAAAATTTTATATTATAAAAAATAAGTAAATCTTTCAAAATTTATATAAATCTATCAATTATATAGTGCTTAAAGTATTGAACCATTTTTCTGATGCAAACATAGACGTATGTATGTGTATGCACATATATGCATATATATCAATACATAGCTCTCTCTACATAAGCCTGTATTTCTATGTTTACATATATACACACACATATATATATACATATACATATATGCCCATATGCATACATAAATACACATATATGCACATAAACTCACACAAAGGGAAATAACAAAGCACCACAGTATCAGAGATAAATCTGAACCAGCAATAAAGTAAAGAAATGAACCTTCACCCTGAGCTCCAATTCCCTTAAAGTTATATGGTGATTTTGAAAATTGAAAGACTTTTTAGAAACTCATAGGACCAGAGGAACAAAATTCAAATCAGAGCCTATCAAAAGTTAGGCTCTAGGAAATATCCTAGACCTTAAAGAGCCAATTTTTAAAAGTAAAATTGAATTTCTAATAGACAGTTTCTTCTGAATCTCAGGTTTAAATTACATCAGTCTCAGATTCGATTAAATTGATCTAAGATTCTGGTGCTTTTATATCCTACCATTCTGTCAGAAACAAAAGTATATTATTTATAAAGAAAAGTAAATATCATATATGTAGTTTTTCATGAAAATTAGCTATCATTCTCTCAGAAACATAAGGAGACTGAAAGAGAACACTGGAAAATAGAATCTGAATCACAGGATCCCTATAATTTACGTGACATTAACATGCAGTGACATACTTCATAACAATGTTTCGGCCAATACCAAACAGCACACCTCATGAGAGCTTCACGAGTTAGACATGCGCAGTGAAGTGGTCCTGCTTGCTTGTGTATTCCACCCTCTCATAATGAATGAAGATATGGTCCACTAAGCATTCCTTTCTCTGAAAGCGTGCCCATGACTAAAAGACACACGACTGTACCTCTCTGAGGAATTTAAAAGTAGGAAAGACCAACATTTCATTTTCAGGAAGTAATTACATTTAAATAATGAAAGATAAAGACTCACAATGTTGGTTGAAATTGAAAACAATTCAATAGAATCCAGTTGAAAATTTGAACCCTGTAACAGCAACAAATTTGAAAAACTGAGTGAATGTGTTTTTATAAACAGATGAACTGAAGGAAGGGTCAGAAGGAAATTCTGAGATTAGAGCACAAACAGACGAAAAGATGTAAACAGAGAAAATACTACAGAAAATATGATGATGAAGACATATGTAATCTACTCAAAAAATGCATCTTACTTAGTAATTTGAACCTAAAAAAGAGAATATAAAAATGAGGTGGAAACTACAAACTACCAATATTGGAGGACATTAACTCACACATGAAATAGAAATAAGAATATAATGCAGATCTACTTTAACTAAACGGTTCAGAGATAGACCTTAGCAGATGGTACCACTGAACAGTTTTCCAAAGCAAATTTTCTACAGAGGTGTCCTGTTATATTTTGGGACACAGAATTTAGGGCCAAACTTCAGTGAAGTCTCCTATGGCTTAAACTGGAAGACGTACACTTTCTAGGCTGCCATCCATATACATGAGAATACAGTAGGGTCTCTAGCTTCGTATCAGATGCACCAAATCGAAACATCCATTTTTCTCATCAAATGAGCATTTAGTACTCTGATCTCCACAAGGTCCAAAATTGCTTAGAGCTTAGGCAGGACTCAGCACCATCCCTCACTCCCACAGGGCCTCCTGTTGTTCTCTCTGTGGTTCTAGGTCTCAGTTTTATAGAATCTGTCAGGGACCATATTTTCTCCTCTCTGTTGGGTGTGAAAAACGACTGGGAAACATGACTGGGAAATAAGAATTTTAGAAAATGAGAAAAAATATGGTTAAAAATTTAATCTTCATCAGGTCTTCATTCGGACTGAAAGTATACTGCAAAATCATTGACAAACAAGAAGATAAATAAATCTCTCTCCTCATCATTTATAGAAAACTATCTCCCTACAGCACCCAGTGGGAACCCAGATAAATAGTACAGCCAGGGGAAAAGCAGGGCCTTTCCTGAAAATGATACGATAAGCATTTGTGTAAAATGGTAAAGCATTTCTAACTTAGCAGTAATCCAGTGGTTTTGGCTATGACAACAAAATTATAGCAGCTATGAATACAATATGTAGAAAACTATTCAAAAGCAATTACCGCAATTACTGAGCTACACCTTTTATTAAATGAGGCAGTAAAAATGGAAGAGGATAATCACACCTATTTCTGGACTATATAAACGCCTTGCTCCAGAGTAGCACTAGAACTCACAGCCTGCTCAGTTACAACTCAGCTGAACTCACTCCTCCTGCCAACATGTCCTACGGCTGCTCCTCTGGAAACTTCTCCTCCCGCTCCTGTGGGGGCTACCTGCAACTCCCAGCCTCCTCCTGCGGCTCTTCCTACCCCAGCAACCTGGTCTACAGCGCTCATCTCCAGTCTCCCACCAGCTACCAGCTGGGCTCCTCTCTCTACAGTGGCTGTCAGGAGACCTTCTATGGGCCCACCAGCTGCCGGAGGTCCTGTGTGCTGTCCAGGCCCTGCCAGACGTCCTGCTACCGCCCCAGGCCCTCTGCGTTCTGCAGTCCCTGCGGAACCACTTATTCTGGATCTCTGGGATTTGGATCGAACAGCTGCCGCTCCTTGGGCTGTGGATCTACAAGCTGCTATTCACTGGGCGGTAGATCCAACGGTTTCAGACCCCTGACTTACGGAATCCGAAGCTTTCCTATGCTGAATTATGGATCCAGGTTCTGTAATTCAGTCTGTTTTCCTTCTAGGAGTTTCCATTCCTCTTGTTACCGACCATTTTACAGATCTGCCTTTTACTGAATAATCTGTAGATTCACTAAATCCATTTAGAAAAAGGCAGATTCTGTACTAGGCTCATCTATGACTAATTCATTCAGGAGTAGCCAAAAGTTCTTGAAATTCTGCTCTCCTTTCCTTTCTGGCTCTTAAATACTACTGATACATTGTTTCTATAAAGTTAAATGAATTTCTCTTCCAAAACAGGAAGTCAATTAATTTTATCTTAATAAATTCTTTATTCTGCTGTTGAAATATGTGTTGATCTTATTTACTAATGTACTCATGGGGACTGTCATTGTTTCTGGTCATGGTTTTGGGAATGTTCAAACAGTTGTGTATTGACACTAAATTTGTCTGAGTTTCAAGTGTTTTCCCCTCACCCAGCAAGTTTCCCAAATTCTCATGGTTTCTAGATGCAGCTTTTTCTCAATCAAAATCTAAAAAATTAACATAATTATCTTTGGTCACTTAATAACTATAACATACATCTCTAAGGAGGAGTTTATCATACTTTTGAAGAATGCAAGAATTTCGAATTGTATCATGAAGTTTGTGCATAAAAAATATAAAACAGAGAATTAAGGTGTGAATATACATTTTCAGAAGAAGTGGGGCCCTGGGAACTTTAGGTAGTCACAGTGTGGAATGTCAATTTTTGAAAAAATATTAGCTAAATCCCTGCACTCCAATTAACATTTTCAGTTTGTTCGCATTGTTTCTTTTTGTGTGAGAAGGAAAAGAACAAATTTAGGAAAACCTAAACTTAGCACGTATGAAACTTCACCTGGGTTCTTGGTCAAGCTAAATCTAATTGAAAACATCCAAACTTTACAATCATCAAAGCAACGGTTTTACTTTTGCCTTGACATAAAATTAGGTAAGCCGTATTCATTGCATTTTCTGGCTTTCATTAAATTTTAGAAAAAGATATTATCAAGTCAAATATGGTTTCAAATGCACTGATAGCCTAATGTTAGAGGGACATATATTTGCTTAAATAAAGCAAATAATGATCCCATGTTTGCCCTCTCTTTGTTTTATAAGATCTTCAAACACTCTGTGAAGTCAGAAATAGACTGCAAAACAACTGAAACTTCACAATAAAGTTAATCTTACAGTACAGCATAGTCATCTCATTGTGTTCTCTTCCTCATTTGTTAAGAAAGTAGTAAAATGTGAAATAGAGAAGGAACCATGAGCTTTGTTAAATTCCATGTACTTTTCTACAATGGTAGATATTTAAATAGGAGAATATATACAATTTAAAATATGTAGAAAATTACTGTAGGTCGAGACATAGTGCTTCTTAATTGAATTTACTTCATTGATTCTATTTAATTAAACCTTGTCATTTATGTCCAGTCTTCTCTCATCTAATTTTTTTTATTCCTTTTCCCTCATCTATTTCTTTTCTTTCTAATTCCTCTCCTTATTCATGCATTAATATATTTAGGAAAGAGTCGTATCAGCGATGGAAGAAAAAATACAGAATAACAAAAGAATTGGGGGAAAATAATAATTACAATGTAAATTTTATCTAGAAATAAGTTCCTTTGCAATGAGTCCTTTCCATAATTTTGATTGATTTCTAAAATGTAAATGTTCTAAGTTCTTTCGATGCCCATAATACTTACTCAAGATGAATTGTTGAGTTTTATACCCAAAAACATAGGCGACAGAAAGATCTTCACAAGGAGCAACTTTAGCTTCTTGGCGAGGCTTTAGTCTTCTCTGTTTATTGTCATTAAATTCCAGATACAAGAGTAGTTTTCTGGCCTTTGGAATTACATTACTGGGGGCTCCCAACTTATGATGATACAGCTTGTGGTTTCTCTGCTTCAGAATGGCACAATAATGATGCTTTTGATAGAAATATTATTTTTTAGAAAAGCTAATTCATTTTATATTTTTCTTTAAAAGTTCTTCACTAGGATGTGTGTAGTACATAGCGTTAACACTCCTCATGGAGATGGCGCGTGTTCATTCCACTTTCCTGCTCTTACTTCCCCCCACCCACTTATTCCTTGATCCTCCTCCCTGTTTTGTGGGTATTTGAGTACTTCACGTTTATGAGCTTTTAGTGGAGTGAGTACATGTACATGACACATCCTGGAGAGAGAGAGAGAGGAGAAAGGAGTGAGGCTGAGGAGGGACGGGGAATAATAAAAAGATACCCCACTTGTAATTTTGAAACTTGGTCTTTTCCCAGGCTGGTAATATGTGGTACAATAATCTCTCTGGATTCTGGGAAGCAACAGAAAGAGTAAGCAACCCATATTAAAGATTTGCTCAGCTAAAATACTTGATATGTTAGAGTACTTAATGTATTTGATCTATAATATTTCAACTTACAGAAATATTATAGTACTACAATCCCATTGCAAGTTAGGGAGCACTTGCACTGTTTTAGTTTCTTTCTTATTACTGAAATGACGAATCCCATTAAATTAAGTAATTTAAGCCATAAAATTTGCTATCTTGAAGTTTTGAAGGTCCAAGTATCTTTTAATACTAAAGTTCCCAGCGTGTAGGTCTCATTCTCTTTCTATTCCAGCAACTAAGCATAGTACAGTATATTGCAGTCTCCCGATTTTCATCACGTTAATCCCATTCTCTGAGACTAACAGACCAGGCTGCATTTCTCTGGATTATATCTAGTTGTTTGCAATGTTCCAGCTTTCTCCAGCTGCATACTTCCACAGCTGTGTAAAGCTAAGGATTTTGAACTCATAGATTTATATCCCAAGCATCTGCTACTGACATAATTAAAATTTCAAAAAGTTGCTAATCATCTATCATCTGCTTGCAGCTGTGGTTTCCAAGAATTGATGTAACTAATTTTTTTTCCTAAGATATCCTCTCGTGAATTATTTCTATATGTTTAATTTCAATTATTACAATACATTAATGTTTATTTTATTGGTGATTAGAGAGATGTGACTTTTCCCTCCCCAATTTCTTGCCTTGCCAAGTATTTTGTTGCCAGTATTACATATGCCTTGATATGTATTCTCAAATGTTTCCAGTACAGGCTGAGCATCCCTTGTCTGAAAACTCAGAATTTGAATTACTCCAAAGTCAGAAAAACCTTATGTACCAGAGTAACACAATGAAAGACACATTCCACACCTGAATGCATGTAATGGATTACAATCAAAATATCTACATTAAAAAATGTGAAACAAAATTATCTTCAGACTACATGGGTGAACAAATACACATGCATTTTGAGCACTGTTCCCAAAGTAATCTTTCTATGTTTATGCAAATATTTCAAGCTTTGAAAAAAATAAAAAATCTGAAAATTCCTCATCTTAAATATATAGTCATTGAGGACTTACTATGAACTATAATCTTTATTATGAAGATATGCCATTGGAAATATTTTGGTAAAAGACTGTACTTATACACTACACTATAATGAAAATATTAGCACTATGTAGGCTTTATTTGAGAAGAGAGTCTTGAAAGTCTAATAAAGCAACCTTAAATAAATATTTATTTGTAGTAATGATGAAACAGAGATGAGACAAAACAAAGAACAAGTACAGTCCTCATTAATCTTAGGACTCAGGAAAATTTTCCTGTAGGGATAACGTTTAACATGAATGGGTTTAAAGAGTAAGAAGGAAATAATAGAAGCCTGGAGAAATGTTTGTAAGGTCAAAATCTTGAGCTATGAATTGCAAAATTGAAATGCATTCTGACTAGTTATGGACAGAAAAAAGGAAAAAATAACTTAGAATAAGTTCACAAAACTATTTTGGAGCCATTCACTGAGAGTCTAATTCATGAATGCAAAATTTCTCCTAAAAACAATAAGTTCATTTAATGTTTTTAAGCAGAAAATGACATTTTTGATTTGTTAATGTTCACAATAATTTGTTTCAATTCGTCTGTACACATAACGAACAGGACAGATTTTATTAAAGAACAAAATTACATGTTTTCAAAAATATGGGCACATGTGTAATAAATACTTGATCAAAATATACATTTCCCCTCCCTAGGTCATTACCTCATATTCATTTTTAATTGATCTGTGTCTACCAGATGCAACTACTACTTAATCTCTATAGATTAATATTATGGAATGTCATATGAAAACCAAAATCACACAATATTTCTCTTTTGCAAACAACCTTTTCACTCAACATATTTTTTAAAGAGAAAAAAATGGAACCAGCAATAAAACAGAATTTCAAAACAAGTTAGTAGGAAATTTACAAAAATTAATACACTGCATATTGTTGTCTTCATAGTAGTTATTCCCAATGCAAGATACATGCATAACTTGTCCAAACAATATTAACACAAACCTTCCTTTTCTAAGTGAAACTAGCTGTGTAATTGTCTTTTGAAATTATGTTGTTTAATGTTTTATTTTATTTATCTTTTGTTTCATTTTATCAATGTATCATAATGAGCTTACTATTTCACCTATTGATGTGCACTGAATTCTCTCACATTTTTGAAGTCAATCAGTAAAACTGTACTGAATGTTGATCAGTCCATTTTTTTGGTGGACGCTTTTAGTTGTTTTTTTTTTTTTTTTTCCTTAGATAAAAATCTCAGAATGCAGTATCTGGAGAGTGAGTAAATGCTTACCTTCACTGGAAATTGCCAACAGGTTGTTTTACAATTAGCTTTGCAACCTTGCTCTCATATCAGCGATGCCCTAGAGTTCTAACATGGTCTAATGTCATCTGAATACTTGACAGTGGCATCTTTCTTTTCTCATGAGGTGAATGCTAGCTGCCATCATACTGTGATTTTAACTTCCATTTGCTTGGTGAATAGTGATTTTTAGCACCTTTTCTTGCACTTATTGCATCATTTATATATCTTATGTAGTGATTGTTTACTTTTCTAAGGAAGACCGTTATCATATTAACACATTAATAATGCCCCACTTGTTGCCTGCTCTTTTCATTTTAATACTGAGCTTTGGTGAGCATTTTTTATTTTGATGAAATCAAGTATATCAATTATTTTTATTTTATGATTCTCTTTCATATTCTTGTGAAAGTTTTTCTTGTTATCAGTTGAAAATTCACTCATTATCTTTTCCTTTCTTGAAAATTGACAGATTCAGCTTTTACATACTCTCCTGTTACCATATGGGATGCAAGAAGTTCTTCCCACATAGGAGATGGAGGCCTCAACTCATCCCACAGAAGAGGTTTATTGATTCGGGTAAAAGAAAAAATGCATTTCAAGTGCATCAGTGTGAGACATAAGGTGTG